TGGGTCCACCAGTGCAGAGGCTGCTCCAACGCGCTATAATTACAGCGCGTTGGAGCAGACTCAATTCAGTCTGCTGGAGCATGGGAACAATTTTGCTCCAGCAGCCTCTTGCATTTTGTGTATCAGCATCCCCGCGCTTAAAAATGGCAGCGGGGATGCTTGAACTAAAGCCCCCACCACCATTTCTAGGTGCAAGGATGCTGATACACGAGATGTTGTGGCATTTTAATTAGAGCAGCTCTCAGAGCTGCTCTAATTAAAGCACCACCCGAAGAGCATGTGTAAAAGTGCCCCTTGATTCCAGGGGAGCAAGGGCACATTTGCCACAGTTGGGATCTGACCCTGTCTAACTGGACATACAGTGGTCAGAGCAGACTATGCACCACTAGAGTTTGGGGGAAATGGTTTACGAAGGAAGGAAGCTGGCAAGCTTGTTCTGGATTCTGGGGCTGTTGTAGGGGCTGCTTGATGTGAGGTCCTGGTCTGATACCTGAACTTTGTTAGGTGTTTACTTCCTGTGCAGTGATGAGGCTGAGGCCATCCCAGGCCTGGAGTTGAGAGGACAAAGCCATCAGAGGCAGCTGTAGAACCAGCAGGGGATGGATTTTACCTGGGAGACTCATTATGTGGGAAGGAAGACAATGCACCATGGTAGCTTCTTGTCCTTCCTTCTGTGCTTTTCCCCAGCTTATGGTATCCATTATCTCACAAGGCAAGTGGCCCAAAAGGAGATGAGTGTCACAGTAGAGAGTACAGCTGGTTCACATCCTTTCCCCTGATACTAGTGCCCCCTGCTCTTCCATGGCACTTCCTACTTCTTGATTTCAAAGTCCATGGCACAAGGAGGTCTGAGGCATTTCCCCTGCTTTGCAAATGAGGAAAATGAGGCATGGGGAGGAAAGTGGCTTGCCTAAAGTCAGCTAGTAGCTGCCCATTGGCTGTGCTGGAGCCTTTGCTTAGTGCTCTGTTCACTGGTTACCACTGTCTACTGTCACTCTTCATCCATTAGCTCCCATCCTGCCCTGTTTCCTCTATTTTGTATCCTGGTCCAATCCGTCTCTTCCTTGGAAGTAGTTATTGCCATTCGGAGTTATTGCCATTAATGTGAATAGGACAGGTTTCTGTATGTGCATGCATCATGTGCTTGGGTGGATATATGTGTACATGTGTTTGAGCATATATATGTGTGTGTGTGTGTGTGTGTGTGCGCGCGCGTGTGTGTGTGTGTATAGATAGATAGATAGATAGATATAGATATATAGGTGTTTACACATGTGCATGCATTTGAATGTGTGCACATGTATATATACCTGATAATGTGCATGTTTACATATGTGCATGTGTGTACATGATTGTAGGTGTGTGTACACATGTATATATACCTGAGAGTGTGTGTATACATATGCGCATGTGTTTGAGTGTGTGTGTGTGTATGCCGACTGCAGGGCAGTTTTAAGGCAGGTGTGCATATGTGTCTGTGAGCATGGGGGAGTGCACATGCCTGATTGCATGTGTGTGCAAGCCTGTGCATGCAGGGGAGAGGGCCAATTTAGATATCTGCTTTCCTTACACCTCCCCAGATGTTTCCTGAGTGACTCAGAGCTGGCAGGGGTGGGGGAGGGCGTGTGTGGGGAGGGCTGGGGATGTGCATAGGGTGGGCATGCCTTGCAGCATTCTTGGCAGTAACTCTCAAGCTGTTGATGGTTCAGTGGCAGCTCCCAGTTCTCCAGCCTGTGACCCATTAATGGATTTATTTTCCTATAATTTGCCTTCTACCACTGGGAATCAGACGTCAGTTACAATATAATCTGAAAGACCCAATCGGAATGGAGCTTGAGAACATGAGCCCTGCCCTATGCTGATGATGTCACAGTTCGTAGCCCATAACAGCTTTTTTGAATGGGTGGAAAGCACTGGAGTCTCTTGGACTGCTCTACGTGGAGCAGGCTCCAGTCCTGCTTATACTGGGCAATTCATCTCACAGTGTTTACACTGTAAAGTGTTCCAGGTGACCGATGGCTAATCCTGTTAATTAACTCTGGGTGTGGACACATGGCATATTTACATCAGGATAATTTTACCTTGCTCTGGTGTAAATTTGGAGCAGACACACAATGAACAGCCTTTTAGTGGTATAATGAACTCAGCTATGAGCTCGAGTTCCCTGCTCAGAAAGTGAGGAGGTATGCTGTTGTACTAGTCATGCGTCACCTCCCCTGCACAGTTTTACCCTCTTCAGGCTTCAGCTGGAGTATTGCTTGCAGTTCTGGGCACTGCAGTTCAAGCGTGATGTAGAGAAACTGGAGAGGATCTAGAGGCCAGTGACGAAGATAACAAAGGAGCTGGAAAGCAGGCACACGAGGAAAGGTTTCTTGTTGTCTCCTAGGACCTGCTAGATCCTACTGTAATATGGTTCCAGTAAGCACACAGCAGCTATTAAATGAGTACAAACTCAGCATAGTCTTTATTCATACTATCAACCAGGTGATCAGACTGGCTAACAGAAGGGATAGTACAGGTTTAAACAAAAATTCAAGGTATATTTCTGTTACGCTCTTTGTATACACTTGAAGTGCTGTCATCAAGCCGGCATCATTGCAAACACATGCTCAAACACATTTGATGCCATGCACCTTACAGTTAACTTACTTAAACACAGCATTCCTCTTGTAACAGGGAGCCAGGGGCTCCTTTCATTTTAAAGGTGGAAACTGTAATACATAAAGTCCATGGGCAGGAGCAGGCAGCAGAACCAAGGCTAGCTGCAGGAGAATAGGCAGGTAGGAAGTTAAAGGGCTGCCAATAACTACTTGTAGCAGGCTACAAAGCAAGAGGGCAATAGAACTGAGCTCCAGATAGTTACAAGGGAACAACTCCAGCTGAGCCAGGAGAAAAGCAGCAAGCTGCTCAATAGGCCTAGGGAACATACCTGTGGCTGGTAAGCAGGATACCTGACCAGAAGAGGAGGAGCTCAGGGAATATAAACCTAGGTCCCTGAGTCAGAGGAACCAATGTTGCCCTGAACTCAGGGTGAAGAGCTCCTGCCAACCTAAGCTGTCAGGGAGCAAAAGCTGCTGGCATGGGGGTACGGTATGTGCTAGGAGAGAGCCAGGGAGAGGGGCTTCTGCAGCCATATGATGACTTAGAGGGGCTTTGAGGGTTATATTTGAAGCAGGTTGCTGATATTTTGGTTTTATTTTATATAAGAAACTGGACTGTGGCTATAGGGGTGGACTTGCAAGGATGCCTGAGAGATGCTCCAGGTTTTGAGCCCTGCCAGGGACAGGAGCACAAGGGAGAGCAAAAGTGGGACACGGGCTCTCTGAGTCTGAGGGGGCCAGAGCCTGCTCCCCGAAAATGGGACGCAAGCAGGCTGAACCTCAGAAGCCAAGCCAGAGCAACCAGCAGGATAAAGGCCAAGAGAGCTGAAACCTATACAGTCTGGTGAAGTGTACAACCCGTGAGGCATAGGTGTGGCTATGGGGGAGGCTGGAGGCCATGATTAAAGCCCCTAAGGTAATTTAGTGCCTGAGGGGCAAGCCTGGTGCCAACCAGGCACAGAAGGTGGTGAATAGGTGAACTGACTTTCATTTCAGGTCCTTAGGGCAGCTTCCCTAAGGACTAAAATATCTATCAAGGTGTGGCAGGAGAGACAAACAATGGAGGGTACCCTGAGGATCTGAGGTGAAGCGGGCTAGCTTGGCCAACAGGGGGTGTCACTGCTGCCATGATGGTCCAGGACGTCCTGCACCTGCATACCTTCTGAGATATCTACCAGATTTGGTTGTACCATCCTATGTGGTTCTCTTATCCATTCTGACAGTTCATACTGATTCTGTGCATCTCAGGATGTTCGCAGCCAGGTTCCAAATGTTCTGATGCACTCTGCAGCCAGCTAAAGAACTGCAGATTTACCAGCTTTTAACTCTTCCTGCTCCTAGCTTGCTTTATAGGCCTGCAAGGCTGAGGGATGTTTAGCTTAGAGAAAAAAAAAAGATTAAGTGGAGACATGATTACAGTTTTTGAGTGTCTGAAAAGCTGTCAGGAAGAAGAGGGAGAAAAACTGCTATCCCTGCCACAGAGGGCAGGATAGGAGGCAGCGGGTTTAAATTGCAGCAAAACAGATTTAGATTAGATCTTGGAAAGAGCTTCCAAATTGGCAGGACAGTGATTAGGATGCCAGGGGACATAGTGGAGTCTCTTTCTTTGGAGGTTTCCAAGAAAAAGCTGGAGAGGTACCTGTCTGGGATGGGTTAGGAACAAACAGCATGTCCTGCATCCCTGCAGGGGTTGGATCATGGGTGACTTGTGCCTCCTGAGTCTGGTGGGGCACACCGCAGACTGGATGCAGCTGGACAGGCAAACTGGAGACCACCAGCTGGAACACAGGGAGGAGCCGCAGCCTCTCCACTCGGCTCTGTGGTGCCACGGTTTGCTGTCCTAAGTGGTGCCGAGTCGGGGGGCCAATCTTGGGGGGGCATGTGCCATAGTCGTCTGTGGGTTCAATGAACTAGCTGACCCTCAAGGTCCCATCCAGGGCTGCTAACTTGCTTTTCCTTGTCACAGAGCTAGCTGCTCTGATCTGAATTAGCTAATCCAGACTAGCTACTGTAGGGGAGGAACCCCCTTCTTCAACATAATCATTTACTTGGAAAAATCCTCTGTCCTGTGCCATGTAGGATTAGCTAGTCATAAAACTCCACCTTGGCATTTCTGACTCCTCAATACCTGCTTTTTTCACTCCTTCACATTGTGGTGTCCAGACCCAGCAGGCAGTAACCCCCACCCCCCATCCCTAATTGGACATCTAAAGATAGAAGGTTATGACCCATAGTATGCCCGTAAATATAGTGTGGGCATTTCTTGGACATCTGGGAAATGCAAGAGCTCTTGGCTGGAGTTAATCTTTAATAGCTAAAACTGTCCTCTTGGTTGTGGCTTTTCACAACCCTGGTGATAATGAGACCTTATTACAAGTCATTAAGGAAGAAAAATACACATGTGCTAAAGTGCAAAGTCTTAGCTCTGGTTAAGTGGCAGAAAGTGGACTTGGGAGCAGACAGGGGTCTGGGACCAGGCTGGGGTCAGCCACTCACAGGCAGATATTTATGGCAGCCTGGCAGTGATCAGTGTTTTCTTGGATGCTGCTGAGATGGGGGACAATGCAGGGCTCCCGAAGGTCCAGAGACTTGGGTAAGTGACCCCTACATTATGATCTCCCTTCACAGGTGGGGAAACCAAGGTAGGGAATGAGTTTCTGCCTCCTCCAAAGACACCCAGTGGAGGAGCCAGGAGTAGAACTCTTGTTTCTGGGCCCCAGGGCAGCATTCTGGTTGTGCTGATTACCAGGGAGTAGTCTGTGGGTGGAGGGAGATAGCGTGTGTCTGCTGGATAACTGCACTTACAGGGTGATGACTGTGTGGGTATAGGGTAGACAACATTTTTTGGCCGGAGTGCCGAAAAAACCACAGTGTCTACCTTGGAAGGTGCTGGTGTGCTGACAAGCCAGAGCACAGAGCAGCTGTTTGCAGCCTCCCGGCTGCAGCCAGCCCACAGAGCCTGGTCTGCTTGCAGCAGGGTTTGCAGCCTCCCAGCTGCCTGCTGGGAGCAGCCTGGGCTCCGTGGCTGGCAGCAGCTGCTTAGAGCCTGGGCTGGTGGTGGTGTGCCGAGAAAAATGGTCTTGCTTGCCATGCTCAGCACATGTGCTGGGGGTTGCTGACCCCTGGCATAGGGTTTGGGTGGGGGGAGGGGTGCCTCTGTGGAGGGCTGGCTGTGCTTCCAGGGTGACAGCTCTGCAGGCTGGAGGAAAGCAGGGGACACCATAAATGTGGTACCCCCTGAATGGCAGTCATTGACCAATAGTTTTGTAGCAAGCAACTGCATGGGCAGGTTTCCTTCCATGCTAGCACAGAGACTCCCAGCTTCATGGCATGCTGCAGAGGCACTCAGCTGGGGATTGGCTGGGGTGGGAATAGTCTGTACAGCAGGCTGGCCAGGGTCTCCCTTGGCTTGCATGCATGTGAAGGGCACAGATGAGGGGGTCCTCATTTCTGCTCTCTCTTAGAGGGTGCACAGAAGCACAGGCTGGTGGTGGGCAAAGTTCCATGGAACCAGGCTTGGTTTGGCTCCTAATGTGGCTGATGGGGAAGTGTAGGCCTCATGGCTGAGGTGGGTCCACAGGGGCAAGGGGACTGAGACAAGAGCTTTGGAAATGTTGCTGGAGCCCCATGGAGCTGTAGGTACTCTCAGCTGCTGGATGGGGCAGCACAGGAGCTGGGGCAACCAGACTGAAGGCTGTGGAGCCTCTGTCTGTCTCATGCATGTGCACATGCATGTAGGTATATTGTGTAGAAAAGATGTGGAATGGGTGCTCTGAATGTGTTTGCCTGTTCTTAGAAAAAGCATCTGGAATGGGGTGTATGAGAGATTGTACGAGTGTGTGCAAAGAGGTTCTGCAAAGGTCTGTGTTTGTGTGTGTACATGCATGTGTATGTGTGTATATATTTGTGTGTGCATGTGCAACAGGGATCTGAAACTGCATGAGAATATGTAGGAAGGATTTAGAATAGACCGTGTGAAGGGGGCGTGTAAACAGGCAGGTGTGTGTATGTGTGCGCATCATGTTCTTTGGTGGGTGTATGTATATGATTACTTTTCATGCATATGTATGTTTGAGTGTATGTACATATATATGTGTTTGGGTATGTGTGCTTGTGTTTGAGCATATATATATAAATGTGTGCACACGTGTATATACCTGATAACATGTATGTTTACATATGTATGTACACATGTGTACATGATTTTAGGTGTTTGTACACACGCATGTATATATACCTGATAATGTGTGTATACACATGTGCATGTGTTTGAGTGTGTGTATGTTTGCTGACTGCAGAGCAGTTTTAAGACAGGTGTGCATATGTGTCTAAGAGCATGGGGGAGTGCGCATGCCTGGTTGCATGTGTGTGCAAGCCTATGCATGCAGGGAAGGGGGGCAACTTACATTTCTGATTTCTCTACACATCCCCAGATGTTTCCTGAATGGCTCAGAGCTGGCAGGGGTGGGGGAGGGTGTGTGTGGGGAGGGCTGGGGGTGTGCGTAGGGTGGGCGTGCCTTGCAGCATTCTTGGCAGTAACTCTCATGCTGTTGATGGTTCAGTGACGGCTCCCAGTTCTGCAGCCTGTGACCCACGGTGAGTCCTTGTGCCCACTTTCCCAGGACTTTTCTCCCCCTCAGCTTGGCAGGGGAAAGAGGAGTGTGGATGGGGCAGGGGCACAGGAGGAGGGAATGGGTTGTATAGAGGGGGCAGGCACCTAGTGCCTGTTGTCACAATCCTGGCACTGCTGTCCTCCCCTTCTCTCTTGCCCCCACCCCTGCTTGGCTTCCTGCAGCTACCCACCTTGGCACTGGTGGCCTCTGGACTGGGCAGGCTGGGCATGTGGCGGAGCCCGGAAAACAAGCTTCTCCTTTAGAGGAGGCTAAGAGAAAACAGATGCTGTGGCGAGCCATAGGGAAACATTGTCTGTATTAGGAAAGAATGAATCAGCCAACCAGAGGAGTAGATTTTTGGGGAGCGGCTGTGAGGGAGTCATGGCTCAGGAGCTGCCCAGGGAGTAGAGGCAGGAGGGTTGGTAGGTAGGAAAGGATAAACAGAGTGGGAGATGTGCTCTGGGAGGGGAGGGGTGGCAGTGGCAGAGGTCCTGGATATGGGAGCTGGCACTGTATCTCAACATCCCCTGTTCTGAACCCTTCCCTAATCCCCAGCCCTTCCCCACCCCTGCAGACTGCCTGTGCCCTGGTCAGACAGTGTCCCTTCAGTCCTGTGCTGGGGCAAGGGCGGGGCAGTTAGTGCTCTTGCTGCCTGGTTGGGAGCTAGGGCTCTTTGGGGAGTGGTGGGCTGTGTCTGCCTAACCCTGCTGGGTGCCTCGCCTGGGAGCTCTGATGTCTGTGCCCCGCAGCCCTGCCCTGATTGCCGGGGGGGGGGGGGAGCCCTGCAGCCAAACTGGTCCCTTTCCTGGCCCCGGGTGGTGCAGGCCAGAGAGGGGAGTGGGGCTATTTACTTTGTCCTGGTTGGAGTCCTGGTGCCTTGGGCTTGGGGCTAGGGCAGGCTTCAGGGGTGGTCCTCAAGGGCGAGGTCCTGGGCTGGGGTAAGTGGCATAGTGGAGCTCTCTTGTGGGAAGCAAGGGGAGATGCCTGGCCTGGGTGCAAGTGCTACCTGGGTGGGCCTTTTGTGCACAGAGGGTGCTCAGGGTCTGTGTTGTGCACTCACAGCTGCCTCATGCACATGTGCTGTACGGGGATGTATCCTGCACGTGTCACACTGATGTGGCACATATGTGCCTCATAGAGCCATGTGGCAAAAGTGTTGCACAGGGGCTCCATGATATGCTTATACTGTGCAGAGAACTGTTGCATACTCATGCTACAAAGGGGCACATCTCATGCATGGTGCTGGGCAGCTCTAATCCCAGGGGCCTGGCCTTTACTCACATGCTGTCTAGGGACAATGTAGCTGGTGCCTTGGTTTCCCCTGGGGTAGGGCTGTAAGGGGACTCCTGCTTGGTGAGTGGTACATGGAGCTGCCACAAGGAGGCCAGGGGCTATTTTTAACTTTTCCCCATCCTCAGTTGAGCAGGAGCAGGGTTTTATTAGAGAATTGTATGATTCATGATTCACAGAGAGCAACTTCCCTACCCAGCCCCCAAGCGGTGAAACACCACCACATAGGGACTGGTCAGTCTGCCTGCTACATCTGAGGATATCACCTGTCTCTGCCTACCAGCCTCCCAGGCTGGGAAGATGATTAGGAATGAACCCATGTTGTTTCTTGCAGGGTGGAGTGCATTTCACTGGCTTTGCTCAGGGCTGCTCAGTGGCCTCTTTCCCCAAGCCCTGGATTTTTACTGGCAGAAAAAGTTCCCTGACTCAGAGCCTGTGCCCCAGCCCAGTTCCTCTGGAGCTGCCTACCTCCCCTCCCACAGGCTAGTGTCAAAGCTGGTCCCTGACCTTGTGAGCTATAGGACAAGATGGGGAAACTGAGGCACAGCAGGGGTGCAGTGCTGTGCTCAAGGCCACACAGCACCGCCTGGATATTGGTGGATGTGGCTCAAGATTCACAGTGCCTGGCAGCCCCTGCTCCAGCCACAGCTTGGGTGAGAACAATGCAGCCAGGCGTGGCTGAGCCCAGGCCACCCTGCCAAGGGGAAGCAGGTCAGCTGGCAGCCAGGCCTGCAGGGCACCCGTGGGACACAGTCCCCAGAGATGCCATCCATCACAGCTGCCTGAGCAGGTTGAGTGCTGCCTCATGACCCCAGTGTCCTTTCTGCATCAGCACTAAAATCCTGCACACGAGCAACCTTTGTCCTTGGACACCCAAAGGTGCTGGCTCAGACACCCGCTTGGCACCTCCCCAGGCCTTATCTCTCCATCTGCAACACCAGGGTCAGAGACCTGCCCCCTTCCACTCTCCCAGGCACAGGCCACAGTATTGAAGGTGCACAGCTTAAGTCCGAAGGGACCAGAGAGCCTGCATGAGGGGAACAAGGGACAAAATATGGGGCAGGACAGACATGATGGTGGGGGAGATGGCTGTTGCTCCTTCCTCTGTTCCAGGGCCCCTATCCTCTGAGCTCATCATGTGCTGAGCACTCCTGGCTCCCAGGGTAGCTGACACAGGGTAGCAGCTCCCTCCACCCTGGTATAATGAAGCAAGGGAGGGGGGAGATGGGAGGACTGATGTAAGTTCTATCCCATGGTCTCATGTTGCACTGTGACTCTGCCAGAGCTTGCACCAAGCAGGGGGCACTAGCCTGCAGGGAGTGGTGGGGTCAGGACTAGGGATGGGGTACTCTATCCAGGTAGAGAGTGCGAGCCCCAAGGCCTCAGGGTCCCCAGCAGGGCTTTGGATTCTCCCAGGCATGGAAGGTCCCATGACACTTTTTGCAGAAGCCTCATATGCATCCCAGTTCTCACATGTTTAACTCCAAGCAGCCGTGATTCATATCTGCACTGGTTTAGTTGGATGCAGTATTCCTCCCTTTCCATCCTAAACTCCCATGCAAGGGAACTGTTTAACAGCTGCTTGGCTGTGCTTGGAAGGAACCTCTGAAAAAAAACAGTTGTTCTCCCCAGCTTCAGTGCTGGCCTCTGTGCAGTGATCATTGAGTGGCCCCTGTACAACCAGCAGTGATGCCTCACCCCAGATGTAGCTATATTGCAGTGGTGGATATGTGATGCTGCAGAGCAGCTATTGAAGAGGGAACATGCCCCACCCCAGAGGTGGCTGCATTGCAGGACAGAGTTGGGAAATTACCCAGAAGCAGTCTTACCTAGCTGGTACATGGGTCTCTCTGTAAACAGTTTCTGTACCTACCCCAGGGGAGGCCTTATTGCCAGGGTGGACGAGGGGCCTGTGTGGTGGGGCAGTGTGGCTGTTGGACTGGTGCTGAGCCCCACCCTAGAAGTGGCTGCATCTCAGGCCAAGTGTGGGGCCCATTCATGAGGCAGCCATGTTTCAGTGCCAGTCCAGGGCCCTTTTTCAAGCTGTGGTCTCTGCTGTTCTAGATCTCCTCCAGGGCCAGAAGGCTGGTGACATGGAGAGCCAGGGAGCAGGGCTGGCCAAGCGCCTGGCCACACTGCTTTCAGGGCTCATGGAATGCATGTGCTTTGCGGGCATCATCTTCGGCTGGGCCTCTCTGGTCTATGTGCTCAAGGGCCTGCACTACTTCGAGGACCTGTGCAAACCTGTTGCTAACATGACTGTCAACGCCACACATGAGACAGGTATGGCTGAGCTTCCAGCACACGTGTGGCAGAGGGAACGAATTCAGAGCCAGTGCAAATCATAGCATGCCCAGATGTGCATATTCATGGGTACACAAGCCCTCCTTTGCCTACCCGCAAGACTTCTCTGCCTTTCTTCCTGGTTCCCTAGTGCTTTCCCCATAAGCCCCATTTGGGCTCTTAGTAGATGGGGGGGTGGTGCAGGGATTTAGGGGATCTTTGGCTTCAGAGTGTTGGGTTTGGCTGTATGAAGAGTGCAAGTCCTGGGGACTGTGTGGAGGGGTGGGAGAGATGGTATATTGGATGGAGAGTGTTATCTGGAGAGCAGTGTGGAGGGGGTAGGGAAGTAGTGAACTGTATCTGTCCTGGGCAGTTTCTGGACTGGAGGCTTTGGGACTGAGATGGGGTATGGATGTAGGGGCTATGTGGGTGGGTTTCTGTCAGGGGAGCCAGAATGGGGGCTGTGTGGGGGTGTCTATGTAAGTGGTTTGGGGAGGCAGAAGGGTTTACAGGCAGAGGGCACGGTGTGAGTGACTGTTTCAGGGTCTGGAGGGTCTGGGCTTGGGCATGGGTGAGCTGTTTGTGGGGCTTGGGGCAGCATCCCCCCCACCAGGACAGCCCATGACATGAGCACTCTCCGCAGGCTGCAGTGAGCAGGATGAACAGTTCTCACTCATCTTTACCATTGGCTCCTTCATGAACAACTTCATGACCTTCCCCACGGGATGCATCTTTGACCGCTTCGGCACCCTTGCAGCTCGACTGCTGGCTATGTGAGTAGGGGGCCGGTGGGTGTGCACATGAAGTTGGACCTCATCCCTGGGTGGGGAGTGTGGGCTGCTGTTGGGGTCTAACACTCTTTGTGGCGCTGGTGGGGGGGGCGGGCGGGCGGATGGCCAGCGCCAGGGCCAGGGCCGGGGTTCCCTGCTTCTCCCTTCCCTCTGGCACATACACACCTCCATAGCTGGGCTGTCTCTTGCCCCACAGCACCATTATCATCAGGAAGGGGCCCAGCTTGTTTTATCCAGCTCATCCCATCTACCCTTAGCATAGCCTCCCCCCCACCACACACAGCATCATCCCCAGCTCAGCCTCATTACCTCACTCGCACAAGTTGTTCCTCTGGCTGGGAGGTTATTTTAATTTATCTGGAGAGCTCTTGGGCTGTCCTGCTGTCCATTTCCATGGGGAAGGGAAGAGAGGACATATTTTGGGTGTGAGGGTGGGGCACTTGGTGCCTTGTTGTGTAGCTGTTGAAAATAAAAGCCAGCCTGATCTTTGTCAGCCTGGAATGGTTGGGTAGGAGCCTGGGGTGGCAGGTGGGGTTGTGTGATATGGTCTCCTCAAGGGCTGGAGGAGGTTATGGGCAGAGGCGTTACTGGGCTGCTCCCCTGTCAGTGTAGAGGTGTTCTAGGGGGATATCTTAGAGCCACAGCAGAGTAGAAGCTTCAATTTGGGGTATGTCACAGAGGTCCCCTGGGTGCAGGCTCCCTGGTTGTTGATAGAAAGAGACATAAGGGGAACAAAAGGGGCAGGGGGTCACTTCTGTGGTGGTTACCCACTGAATCCTGATTACATGGCTTCAAGGACAGAGGGCTGTGATCCAGTGTGAGCTCCATTGCAGCTGTGACTGATTTATCCCAGCTGGGGATCAGAATCACTGACTCCATTGTCCCTGTGGTTACCTTATTTTAACAAGGTCCTATGGATCTCTGATTGATTTACTTCACCTGGAAATTTAGTCCATGGGCTTCAATGTGGCTGGTTTGCTCCAGCTGGGGGGTCTGAGGCTAATGCTCAGCATCTCTGCTATAAGCCCCTCCTGACCCTGCTTTGATGGGTTGGGGGTATCAGGGACATGTGGGGGTAATGACTACATCAGGTGATAGTGTGTATGGGCTGCTGGGGGTGTGGGAGGGTGATGGGTGTGTGGTATGAGACAGCCAAGTGGAAGTGATGGGTGCATGTGGCTCAGGTATATGTGGGAGCGATGAGGATGTGTGGGAGAGATGCTGAGGAAGGTCAGTGACTCCAGTGGTTTCAGGTCAGGGAGTTTTGCAGCTCATTAACTTCGCCTCAGTTGAGTTAATCTATTAATGGGCTAGGGGCAAAGTCAGGCGGCTCACATGAGCCCCACGGGGTGCTGATGTGGCGGGTTCTAGGACATACCTCCTCCCATGTCAGGTTGCACAAGCGCCTGCAAAGAGGAAGGAAGGGCTGGCTGCCCACATTCTTCTGCATGCCTGCCTGGCACGCTACATGGAGCTGCTCCCAGAACAGGACCAGGCTGCCATGCTGTTAGGATGGGCAGTTTGTGTGTGCTGACTCCCAGTGGACTCACTGCTTCCTCTTCCCTATGACAGCCCAGCTGAGCATGGAGGACAGTCCAGCCCCAGAGCCCAGGGCAGACAATGAAGGGACCTTCTCTGACCTTCTCTGATTTTACGAGCAGGTCCCAGCTGGGCTGAGAGAATCAGGGCTGGCTGGATCCACTGGTCTCAGTGGGGAAGGATCCAGCCAGGGCTTATCCATGCCTCCACTGCCAGTGTGTATTCCCAGCTGTCTGGAGGGAAAGGCTGCCCATGTCCAGGCCTTCTGTCATAGATCTTTGCCCTTCTGAGATCAGGATCCAGACCCTGGAGCTGAAAGACTTCACATGCTGGTATCAAACGAGTTATTCCATTTGGTGCTCACCATCTATCTGTCCAGCTCATCCATCTGCCCATCATCCCTCTGGGCACTTCCATTCAATCCATCCATCCATTTCCATGTGCACCTCTATCTAGTCCATCTGTCCATCTATCCTTCCACTAGTTGATCCATCCCATGGCCACCATTTGTCCCATCCATCCATCCATCCATCCATCCATCCATCCATCCCCCCAGCAGGGTTGCTTTTGTTTCTGACATCAGCTTACCTCCTCTATGATACAGGATTGGGAGACTCTTTGCCCCCCAGCTTCCCTCCGCATTACCCTGTGTCTCTATGTTTCAGATTTCTGTACACTGGGGGTACCCTGCTCATCTCCTTCTCCACAGCAGGTAAGTGCTGTCCTTGTAGATGCTGTAGGATGGGCCTGGGTAGTCTGTGCCAGGTGGTCTGTGGGCATAAAGTCCTGCTGGAGTGGAGATGTCTTGGAGATGGGACACTATCCCCTTCTCTGACCCACGATGAGGGCCCTACTCCCAGCTGGCAAGCCTGAGCTGGGTTATCCCCCAACAGCAATGCTGGTGGATCCTCTGCTTTGGGGGTGAAGAGGCAAACCCCATCAGAGTGATGTCAGCCCCACTTGTGACTGGTAACTACCCCAACAACACCACCTGATGGACAACTCTGAGCATACCCTTGGACCGCTCTGATCCCATATTGGGCACCCAAGTGCAAGCAAACTTGTGTGCTTGTGTTCCTGTGGAGTTCCACCCCTGCAAGTTGTGATGAGGCCTGGCTGTGCAGGGTGTATGCGTGCATGTGTAGATTGAGTCCCTGACTTGTGCCTTTTGTGTTCCTGGCAGCCACGGCGCTGATGCTGTTCCCCGCCATGTCACTGCTCTCTATTGGAGGGATTCTCCTTATCCTCACCAACATGCAGGTCTGACTCCATGTGGACTCCTCACTGGGACAGGTCCAGTTGTGGGGGGATGGGCTTCAGTCTCTTTGTGGGGACCGTATCACCTCTGTTGATGCCTAATTGACACCAGCTGGGCATGGGGGCAGACTCAACTGGGGGAGTAGAGATATGCTGTCCCCTGCCGAGCCCCGTGGGCTGAGGGTGTCCTGGTGGGGCAGATGCCCTGTCCAAAGTGCTGCCCTTGGAGAAGGAAGGCTGAAAGTACCTGGGATGGGCTGGCTCTGGAGATCCCTTAGGGGCTTTTAAGTCCACCCACCCTGCTCTATGGGGAATACTTAATCTCCTTCAGGTTCCTCACGGGAGAGTAGCCCAGCAGGACCCAGGATGCCCAGACAGGTTCTGGGACTGGGGGTATGGACTTCCTTGTCATACAGAAGATAGAGAAAGCAGCAGGAGGGGAAGCTCTTTGAGCTTGGCAGGGAGGACATGGGGGTGGGCAGGGTGGTCATGAGGTGAAAGACTCCTAGCTCCTTGCACAAGGTGAGAAAGAGAACAGCAGAATAAAGCCTGGTGCTGCGGAGAACACAGATTACAGGGTCTCTTGGGAAACCTGCCTTAGGGGAGGAGCTTCCAAGAGAGGTGGCAGCTTCTTAAACATTGCTTGGGGTGCAAGCTCTGATGAGTGCAAGGGCTAAGGCAGGGGGGAAAACACTGGTCCAGTGTTGTTTAGGCATGAGCTCCTCATGGCCTGGGAATAGCAAGGGATTGCCCCAGCAAATGGAAGCTGGAACTGGTAGTGATGGTGGGCACAGAGGGGCAGTGAAGAAATCTTATAAGGGATGTAAAGGCTACAGTGAGAAATGCTCTGTTAGGCACTAGAAGGATGAGGCAGCTGTCCAAAGAGAGATGGTGACTCCTCAGGGAAGGGGAGAGCAGAGAGGACTGACATTTGTGATGCCTTTTTTACTTGATTTTTCACTGGAAGACTAACTGTGAAAGATGCTAACAAAATTGGCACCAGGGGAAGAACTGAGCTGGGAGAGGGGAGGAGCAGGATAGAGACTCCTTAGAAAAGCCAGGTGTTTTCTGATCAGCTGGACTTGAAGAGCCAGCTCAGAGAGCTGGCTGAGGCAGTCTCAGAGCCTTGAGGGTACAGCTGAGCATAAGTGTTGACAGCGGGGGGCACAGCTCTGCACCCCTGCTGCTGCCTGGAGCTGGCTCCACCTGCGCTGCAGCCCCATGCCCCACCATTGGTACAGAAATCTGCAGGGGGGCATGTTCCCCCTGCACCCCCTTTCTCCCCCCCCATGTCACCTATGCTTGAGGGATTGTGAGGACTCTTGGAGGTCAGACGAGGCTCCCCTGGCTGGGAAAGGAGGACCCAGGGAATTACAACTCAGACGGTCAAGCCTTGATTCCTTGAAAGACACTGGAACGTGAAACCAAACTCTCTGTGAGTACCTGGAAGCTAATACAGTGTCACAGACCAACCAGCAGGATTGGTCCAGATCAAGGACCAATCAGGCCTTTCCTTCTGTGACCAAGGAACAGGTCTTGTAGGTAGGGGAGAGATGCCAGATGTGGTACAGCTGGACTTCAGTAAAACTTTTGACCCTGTTTCACTTGACATCCTCTGAGGCAAACCAGGGAAATGCAGTCTAGTAGACACCCCTGTAAAGCTGATACATGGCTAACAGGAAAACTATCCTCACAGAGTAGCTATAAGTGGCTCAGCCATCAGGCTGGAAGGTTGTATTAAGTGGGGTCCCCTGGTACCATTCAGTATTTATACTACCAGAGAAAATTTGCAATGAGTGTAGTTGAAAGATGTCACAAGAGCTTTGGAGGACTAGGTTAGAATCCAGCTTAATCTCACGCCATTGGAGAAGAGGTCTGAAATGAACGGAAGGAAATGCAGTAAGGACAGACATGGTATTCTGAGCTAGCTGGAACCGCAAGCTGTACAAATATAAAATGGGGAACGACCAGCCAGGCTGCTGTTCTGCAGGAAAGGATTTTAGGGCTCAGAAACACGTGGACTGAATATGAGCAAATGCTCTCATGCTGTTGCGAAAAAAAGCCAGCACGCTGTTGGAATGTAGGAGCAGGAGTGCTGTCTCGATGGCATGGAAAATCATCCTTCCCCTCTGCTTGGCTCTGGTGAGGCCAGAGTTTGTGGCCAGTTGAACATCCAGGAAGTAGTAGAGAATCCAGAAGAGAGCAACTAGAATCACCCAAAGTCTAGAAACCAGGACCTCTGAGGCTAGACTGAAAGAACTGGGTGCACTTAGTCAATAGGAGAGAAGCACGAGGGGTTTGGGAGAGCAGTCCTCAAATATGTCAGACATTTCTGCAGAAATGAAGGGCATAAAAGGTTCTCCATGTCTTCCAGGGGCAGAACAAGAAGCAACAGGCTTTGATTGCAGCAGGGAAGGTTGGGGGTGGAGATTAGGAAGAGCTTTCCAGCTGCAAAGATGGTGCAGGGTGAGATTGCTGGGGAGGTTGTGAGGCTTTTGAGAGCAGGTTGGACAGAGTTCCCTCAAGGATGGTCTATCTGGGGTCAGGCTTGGACAAGGGGGCCCCTTGACATCCTTTACAGCCCTGTTTTTTGTGATTTTTGTCACCTGAGCCCTGGGCAGTCCTGATGGGGTTAATGATCATGGACTGGGGTTCTTGTTCTTGCAGGTGGGCAACCTGTTTGGGAAGCACCGGTCAACTATCATCACTTTGTACAATGGGGCCTTCGACTCCTCCTCTGCTGTGTTCCTCATCATCAAGGTGAGCTCCGTCAGGGCGGGAGAGGGGGCAGGGACATGGGCCAAACACCCACTAATCCAGGCATGATTTGTCCCTGCCAGTGGAGACGTTGCCCTGGTACAGACCCTGCTCAGCTCCTCTGAGGACACGTGTCCCTCAGGGCTTGGCATTCACAGGATTCTGAGCCCCTGGGATTCTTTCAGCAAAAGTCCCCAGAATACGCCTCCTTCCTCCCCATCAGGTGACATCTGCATTTTAACATTATTCTGATATCTAGGGCTCCTCCCCAAACAGGCACCCCCTTTTGGGATTGGTCTTGGTAGTTGTTCAGCCCTTCTGGCCCACATGGGAAAGCTCCTTTGAAATGCAGGCCATGCATAGAGCACGTTTCACCTGGGGGACACCCCACCACAGGGCAGTTCATCCAGCTTCAGCAAACTGTTTGGTAGATTAAGTGGGGACTGGCATTTGGGAGCCCACCATGTCAGGGGTGTCATCTCAGGCCCAGGACACCCCCACCCACCCCATGGTGGAGGCAACAAGGAAGATCTGACAGGGGTGGATGGCTCTGTACACATCCTGATTCCTTCTTCAGAGCAGTGGTTCTCAACCTTGTTAGATCCGAGGCACCCCTCAAAAAATTCTTGTGCTTAGTTTTCACTTATCTTTTGATTATGGAAAAATAATAGAAATGTTTTTCTGTTGCTAAGAACTCAGAATGCCCATAACAGGGTGGAATGGTTTTAACACCATGGATTCCTATTTGAAATTTTGGAGTTTATCTTGTGAATCATGTTTGTGCACCTAACAGTGCTAACGTTACGTAGACCCCATGGCGCCCCTGCAAGGATCTCATGGCATCTAAGGTGCTGTGGGGCCTTGTTTGAGAATCACTGCCCTGGAGCATCTTTTCTTTGCCCCTGTTGGTGATGGGACATGTGACAAGTTAGACCCTTAGCCTGTCCCCACCTGCAAGAGTGTATGCTCTGCTCTTCTCATCAGCATCATCTGCAGCTGTATGGACAGCCAAACAGTGTAGGGCACAGTGCTGTGCTTGGGAGTGGAGGTCACCCTGCTCGGGAGCCCTTGGCAGACCTGCAGAGTACATAGCATCTAGGATTCGCTGGCAGGGTCTCCCCTGGGAGGCTGAACCTTTGTAGGAACAGGTTCCAGAGATCAAAGTACAGGTACAACTGGTGCCTGAATAGATAGGAGTCTGTACCCAGCAACCTTTACTCTGTGCTGATGCTGGCCAAGCTGTGGCTATTAGGAGGTTGCAGGGAGGCAGTGTGGCTGAGAGCAGGGCTGAGTTAGATCTGGGGGATATCCCCATCCTGCTGAGGACCTGGGGAAGGCACCTACACCCTTGTGTGCCTCAGTTTCCCTTTGTGCATGCTTTCTGAGGTAGGCGCTATCCCATTGGCTGTGTGCAGTGTTTGATGTTATCTCTGTGAGCCTCTGAGATGTCATGGTAACCTCAGTATAACCCCACCTGGAGGGGCTGAGCTCACCTGGTGTGGCTGTAGGGGCCCCTTCAGTCCATCCTTAGCCTCTGTCCCCTGGGATCTCCATTCACTTGTGTACATGAGAGTGACTTTCCCTTGCTACTGGGTCTGGGGCTGGACTGTCTCCCTGGGGTCAGCCCAGGGCATGATTCATACCTGTTAGACTCTCCCAGTCCTTGCCCCTTCCCCCAGTCAGGCAGGCCCCTGCTTGCTGTGTATTGGCCCTTGTATTGGCGATGTATTGCTGTGCATTGCCGTTGCTGAGGACAGTAGGCAGGTCCTGGCAGGGGTGGGACTCCAGGGCAAGAATGCTTCTCATGCACCACCACCTTGCCCCTGCAGATTAGCACCCCCTATTGCCAGGCTGGGGCATTGGTGCCAGCCCTGCCTTCTGGGTAGAGCACCTCCTCCTGTTCCTTTCAGTACAGCACTGCCTGCTGCTGTTGCTAGAAACCCTTTGAATCTCAGGGCCCTGGCATCCGTTAGTGAATGTGCTGCCACCCCTGACTTTGTCCCCATCTGTCCCAGGGATGTAGAAAAACAGCCCCCTGCCCGGTTTCTCAAGGGAGTGTGCTAAGCACGAGAATCATCATTGTTGCCAAGGACCTGTATTGCCTTGAGGCTCTAAGTACAGGACCTTGCTGTGCTTGGTGCTATGCAGGTTCCCCAGCTGACACACCTACAGCCTTTGCCCACCGGTCTGCAACCAGGGATATAGTCTGGCCTCCTGCTGTGGAGCAGTGCCCCCTGCTGCCCCTTGATCAGCCTTGTGCCAGGTGGTGTGTTGGTGCCCCCTGCTGGTTTGCAGTTAATTCACCTGCATCATTTTCCAGGCATTGATTCTGCAAGCCTGAAGCTGCCCCTTTCTTAGGTAGTACTGAGCCAAGCTCAGCTCTTCAGTTCTGGCTGGGTGATGGTACCCAGCACATGCCTACTGCACATCTGTAGGGCCCCCCAGTTAGTGCAAGAATGTCTAGATTTTGGTGCCAGCTTGGCAGGAGTTAGACCTGCTGAGAGTTTGGTTTGCAGCTCAGCAGAAGGGCAGGGAGCGTCTCATTGCACTTGGCAGCTGAATGCTCATTCATGAGTGCCTGGTATTGATTGGGACAGATGTTAATAAGCCTGCAGCAAATATAGCCTAATGGAGTAGTGCCTTCCTGGCCAGCCGGGTAGGCCACCAAACAGAACCCACAGCAGCAAAGAGACCTGCGCAGTCCTAAGGCTTGTGTCCCTCTCCTGACTTGCAAAATCAGGGGATCCCTCTTCCCCTCCTCTCCGGGTCCAGGATTTCCCCACGTGCTCAGAGCTTGGCATCTGTCACACTAGCTGGCTTTGTCAGAGAGCTCAGCGAATGAGGAGTGTCCTGGAAGGCAAGGGTGGGCAAGGGCATTAGTGCTGCCTGGTCCCAACTGGGGAGGTCTGGTCCCTGAGGGATAAGAGTGTTAGTTCCTGGGCTCACTTTCAGCATGAAGCCACATGGCAGCCCATGCTGTGCCTGCACTGCTGGGGCACTGTGTTCTGGCTCCCAAGTTGGCCTTTCCCAAAAGGCGGAGTTAAGGTGGCAGAGGGCAGGGCACAGGGCTCTACCCACCCATCCCAATGCCCCCTGCCCCCTAGCCAGGAATAGAACCCAGGCTGGATGTCCTGACTCACCATCTCATGCTCAACCCTCTAGTTTTGGGGAGGGGGTGATGTTTGGACTTGTGGGATTGGTAATACCTGCCCATGAGAAGGTTCAGTCAGGCTGAACCCAGTGCTTAAATGTAGCCATCTCTGAGAAAAAGGTATAGAGTGCAGCAGCACAGAACATGGCCAGCTATTGGTACCAGGAAAGGACCCCACCATGGGCTGGGGAGCAGGCTTGGGTTGTAGGATGTCAGTTGCCTTGCTTTGGGGCTGCCAAGCTTTATGTTGGGCCATACTGGAAGGTCCCTAGTGAACCCATAAACTCCACTTGCCAGGACCCCAGTTTTTCAATTGAGCTCAAATGGGGGGGCATCACTTGCAGTGCAGAGCCTCCTAGTGCCACACTAGGGTATTGAAGTCAGCCCAGACACCAGGGCAAGAATGCTTCCCACTCACCCCCACCTTGCCCCTGCAGACTAGCACCCCCTATTGCCAGGCTGGGGCATTGGTGCCAGCCCTGCCTTCTGGGGAGACAGCACCTCCTCCTGTTCCTTTCAGTACAGCACTGGCTGCTGCTGTTGCTGGAAACCCTTTGAATCGCAGGGCCCTGATATCCGTTAGTGAATGTGCTGCTGCCCCTGACTTTGTCCCCATCTGTCCCAGGGATGTAGAGAGACGACCCCCTGCCCAGTTTCTCAAGGGAGTGTGCTAAGCATGCGAATCATCATTGTTGCCAAGGACCTGTATTGCCTTGAGGCTCTAAGCTCAGGACCTTGCTGTGCTTGGTGCTGTGCAGGTTCCCCAGTTGGCACACCTACAGCCTTTGCCCATCAGTCCTCTCACAACAAGGGGTTTGAGCACTGCCTGGCAGGGAGCATGGTGGACCAGCTGTGAGGTCTCAGCCCTGTGCTGTCATGCCCAGAGGAGCCCAGCTGCATCAGGGTAGCATGCTCCTGTGGTCAGGAGTAGGAGGAAGTGTGGTTTTACAGGCAAAGCAAGACATGGCAGAGGGAGTCTTGTGAGTGCTGTGCCTGGCTTTGGCACTGACTCACTGTGTGGCCTTGGATGAGTCATCTCCCTTATCCATATCTCAGTTTTCCCTCACCTGTCTGGACCTCCTCAGGACACAGAAGCTACCCATTCCTCAATGTTTCTGTGCAGTACCTAGCGCCCTAATTTCTGCTGGGGCCTGTGCAACGCCCAGTATAACAGAGCCTTGATCGCAAGGTCTGTGCAGTGCCTGGTACAATAGGGGCCCTGATTCCAGGCAGGTTCTTTACATGTCTCTTCCATTCCTAACATGTTCCACAAAGTCTAGCTTGCCCCTTATACTTCCCCTGCTTTTGCCCACAGCTGTTGTATGAGAAAGGCCTGATCTTGAGGGACATGTTCCTCTTCATCACTGCCTGCAGTGCCTGGCACCTGATCCGCACCTTCTTTCTGATGCCTAAGCAGCACATCCCCTACCCACTGCCTCCAGGATACAGTTATGGGTAAGGCCCCCTCCACTGCTCCTGTGGGAATCTTCCTGCTCCTCCTTCCTCTCCCCTTGAACCCGAACCTCTGACCTCCTTAGAAGCTTAGAATCATATAGAAGCAGGGCTGGGAGGGACCTCGTGGGGTCATCTACACCTGGTGCAGGCAGGCTGGTTCAGCTTGGGCTGGTGCCTGGGACCCTGCCTGAAGAGTGGTTCCCCCACCCCCTGCCTGCTGTGGGGGCCGGGTGGGAACTGCATGGTCTTGTCCCCCAACCTGGGGTGGGGCCTGACTGGCTCCCTGTCCACAGTATGACCTGTAGGAAATCTCAGTCCTACCACACCTATGAGGAGAGGCAGCCAGCCCACAGAGGCGGAAGCAATGACCTGCAGTCGGAGCCTGTTCTTGCAGAGGCTGACCGCAGCCCCAATGACTTCCTGAGCAAAGGTAGGGGCTTGGCCTGCTTCCTCTGCTCCATATCCCCAGGCCCTTTCCAAGGCCCTTGCTTCTGCTTTGTTGGTTTGGGGGGGACCCTCTGCCCATCCCAGGGACAGGACAATGCACCGGTAGTCCCTAGAGCCCTGCCTGCCCCTATGAGAGGAAGTGGAGGAGCCCCATCAGGGCATCCTGGTATACCCTTCCCAGTCTGGGTGGACTGAGGACCCACTGAAGAGACTCCTCCACGAGCCTGAATGAGCCATTGCTCTGGGTTTGGATGGTACCAGGCTTCCCCAGCAGGGACCTGCCACACACAGAGGGAATGACTTCCCTGACCTAGGGCCAGAAAAGCAGGTCAGAACTACCCTCGTGGGCACTGGGGACAGGCGTGGGGCCAGATGGAGGGTTTTGTGGGGGGCATGGCTGGTGAAGGGGAGTAGGTGTCAGGGAAGGCACGGTTGATGACTGTGCTGTATAGGCAGGGGTGTGGCCAGAGGAGGAAGCATGGCCAAAGGAGAAGTGTCTCAATGGCGCTGTGTCAAGAGGCTGGGCCTAGCCAAAGGGAGGGAGGTAGGATGGCCACATGGTTGTTTTGTCAGGGAAGGGGCATGGTCAAAAGGAGATGTGTTGGGGATGGAGGGACATGGCCAGGGGTAGGGTGTGACCGGATCCCTCCTGTCAGGCTTCCTCTGTGGGGGAGTGTTGCAGCCTGGTGGATATGCCAGCCACCCCAGGGCTGCTCTGCTTTTCCCTGTGGACATGTTGCCCCTTAGGCACTGGGGGATGCACAGGTAGCACAGAGCTGTGCCTAGAGCAGCATGCTCCCTAGAGTGTGGACCATGTAGGGGAGCTGCTGGGGGAGGGGCCCATGTGGATTGTGCCTAGGGCTTGTGCCCCAGGAGAGTCCCAGAGTGGGGAGGCTTGGGCACCAGCACTGATGGGCAAGCCAGTGGGCCTGGCACTTGGCCTTGGGTGTCATTATTTCCTGGACATGAAGAAGGCAGGAGCTGATTTCCCTTGCTCTGTCTGGCCTTCCTCGCCCTTTGTGGCCTCTGGTCAGCCCCCCCTACAGCACCTCTGTGTGTTTAGATATCATGAGAACTGGGAATTATGGCCCCTTGGATTTCCCCTACATCCCCTCTCCCAGCATAACCAAGGGGCTTGCATTGTGCACTCAGTCCCCCACCAGCTGACCTGGGTGCCATTGCAGGCCACAAGGAGCCTCCTGTCCGGTCCTTCCAGTCCTGTGTCATCTCCAAGCTCTTTTTCTGGCACCTGGTGTGGCTGTCAGTGATACAGCTGCGGCACTATTTCTTCATTGGCACCCTCAACCCCATGCTGGAGCACCTGGCTGAGAAAAACACTGCACTGGGTATGGGATGGGATAGAGGGAGAAGCGGGAGAGGTGATCCAAGAGAATGGGAGGAGGGATTGGGACAAGGGTTTCCCTGTATACATGGCCTGGGGTGGGAGTATGAAGGAGGAGGGAATGGGGTGGAAGGTGAGAGGAGGGAATCAAGGTGGAGGAAGAGGACAGGGATGGAGGGAGGGAGGGGGGTGAGTGTCAATGAGGGAAGTGGTGGGCATATCTATAGCTGTGGAGCTTTACCCTCAAAGCCTCAGAGGCCTGGATGAAGGTGGTTTGCTTATTGTTAACTTAGTGTGTAGAAGGGAAACTGAAGCAGGGGGTGGGTTGCTGGCAGGCGGGGGTGCAGAACATAAGAATCACCTGCTCTAGGTTTCATCTGGCTCAACCCTCCAGCCCTGGGGGGTCAGAGATGGGGGTGGGTATGAGGCCCCTTGGACAGTCCTGTCCTTTCACACCACTGTACCCTCTTTTCCCAGTGAGCACCTACACCAACGCCTTTGCCTTCACTCAGCTCTGTGGGGTTCTGTGTGCCCCCTGGAATGGCCTCATCTTGGATCGCCACAAGCGCAGGAGGGGCAAGGATGGCAGCACCCACGGTAACAGTTCCCATGTAATCTGATGCATCCTCTTTCTCAGAGCCAAGCTGGCCTGATACTGTGACCTTCTCCACAGCAATGCCTGGCTGGCCCCTGGTGCTGTGGACTTCCCTATGGCTGTGCCATGCTGTGGACTCTGCTATGCTGATCCTGGGCTGAGTTCCGTGTCTCCCTTCTGTCCCAGGTGCCTCAGACTCCCTGACTGACCTGCGCTCCTGCGTGCTGTCGCTGGCAGTGACGGTGGTGCAGAGCGTGGGGTTCTCAGTGTGTGCCACCGTGCCTGTGCTGCCTGTGCAGTACGCCACCTTTATCCTGCAGGTGCTGAGTCGTTCCTTCCTCTATGGAGGCAACGCTGCATTTCTGGCCATTGCGTGAGTCATCTGATGGGGTTCACAGGGCTCCAGGGGGTGGGCGAAGGAGATGGTCCAGGATTGGGAAGGGGCAGGGCAGAAGCAGTGGGGGCAGAGGCAATGGTGGACGGGAGGGGAGTAGGTCTGAGAGATGCCTGGTGGTGGTTGGGGCAGGAGGAGGGTTCACCTCTGGCCCCTCTTACACCAGTGTCCCCAGCATCCTCCCTGCCCCCTGCCGCCCCCCCCCCCCGGTTGTACCCCACTTCCTGTATGTATTCTCTCTGCAGCTTCCCCCTGGAGCACTTTGGGAAGCTCTATGGGCTTGTGATGGGTCTGTCAGCTTTGGTATCGCTCCTGCAGTATCCCTGCTTTGCACTCGTCAAGGGACCCCTCAATGGAAACCCTTTCTATGTGAGTGTTCAGTTTGGCAGGGAGCATCATCCAGGGTTGGGCAGGGGGTAGGGTGCTTTATTGATACCCTAGCGGGAAAGACATGGGTTACCCATGTTGGTTCTAGGGGGCATGTTTGCAACATCTGAGGGTCAAATGGAGTGCGCCATGCATGTTCTTGAGGGGGAAACTTTACTGACACCCCAAAGCGGGTGTCTTTTGGGGAGAACTTTATTGACACTCCAGAGAAGCAGACAGGAATTATGCATAGATGGATCTAGAGGAACTTTTTTGATAATCTAGAGTGGAAGACAAGTAGTCCTTGAGGAGAGAGCTTTCCATATGCTCTCCAGTGAGCATGGGGTGCCACAGAGAAGGCCTGGGGATGTTTATTGACCCATGAGAGTGAGGGTCAGGGAGAGTCTTATCCACAGTTCTGCAGAAGTTTGTCCATGTGGGGACTTCATGGCAGGAGGCTCTGGTAGACATCCTGGAGGGAGGAACAGAGTGTGTCATATAGGCCAGAGTGAGAGACGTAGAGGGGTCTGGGGGTCTGTGGAGCTTTTTGACACCCCTGAGTGAGAGATGAATGTATAGTATTGTTAAGGAAAGGGATTGTTTGACTTCCTGAGTGACAGCCAGGGAATGGCCTAGACAGGGGCTTTATGGAGAATTTGTACCAACTCCTAAAGTGAGATGGGGGCAGTGCTGCACACAGGACTGTGATGTGAGAGGTAGGAATGCCCCATACAGTGCTGGAGGTGGGAGAGGCTTGGGGGGACCTTTAGCTATGCCTTAGCATCAGGGACAGAGGGGGCCCTATTCTGGGTCTGGGTCATGTGAGCTTTATTAACTACTTGTCTCTTAGAGTGAGAGATAGGGAGTGTCCCCCTCAGGGCCAGGCCGGGGGGTTTACTTTATTGAACCACTGAAATGATGCAGGAAGCAAGGATTTTTTTGATGATGTCTTTTATTAAACCAACTATATAGCTGGGAGAGCTCTCCAGACCTGAGGAAGCACACTTTATGCCTTAAAGCTTATCTAACATCTCTCCCAGCTATACAGTTGGTCCAATAAAAGATATCATCAAAAAGCCTTGCTTCTTGCATATTTCCTGAACCACCACAGCTACAACATTTCAACCCTGTTGAGGTGAGTTAGCAGGTGCCCCACACAGGGCTCTTCAGGCTGTGGAAGAACATTATTTACACCCTGAACTGAGGGACAGGGAGTGCCCCTATGGGGCAAGGGACATTTTGTTTAACACCCTGGTGCATATGAGGTTCACAGTTTCATTGTCCTATCCCCAGGTGAACATTGGCCTCACCGTCATCATCCTCCTGGGCTTCGTCAACCCCTTGATGGTGTTTTGGGAATACCAACGTAGGGAGAAGGAACAAGCCACGGAAGGGAACAGTTCCCTGTCCTCATCACCGAAGAAGGCTGATGTTGAGTCTCCTATCTGAAACCACAGGGCTGTCTGGGGACTGTTTTTCATGGAAAAGGGAAGGAGAAAAGGGAATTTCAGGGTGCTCCAGCCCCTAGTACCTCTTCATCTATGTTTGCCCAACTCAGAATGTTTACTACCATCTCAAGCCATTCTCAGACTCATTTAAAAGAGGAGTAATTAGAGAGATATTTATTTTTACAGATACTTAATTTTATAGTTATTTTTATAGCCCTGTTGGTCTGAGTCCTTTATCTCCCTCTTCCCTGTTCTCACACAGGACAATTAGGAAGATGCACTAACTGTATTTACATGTATTGTTCTGCTTGACTACAGTTCTATAGTTGGGTGTGTTCATAATAATTATGGAGGTAAAAGTGCTAGCTTGCTCCTTCCTACTTGAAACCCAATAAATACTAATGGAGAGATCCCAATATGCCGTAGCCCTGTTGCCTGTTGGCCTCACATCTGGGCTTTTCCAAGGTTCCTGGGTTTCATTTAAGGCTGCTAAGGACCTTCTTGTCTGATATGCTGCCAATTACAGGACATGGACTTTGACCCCATAACTCCTACACTGATCCCCAATTTCCAGGATGCTTCAGTCTCTTACGTTGTCGGACAACTATTCATCCACTCCAGCCCCTCTTGCCTACCAGAGCCACAGAGCAACCAAAGGGAAAACAGTACACAGTACACCATGAGTGAAGAGAGGAGAAGGTGGGAGTACTTCCCATGCCCTGGCAGGGAATACATTATGTTAGTAGATGCCCAGAGAGTTCTAGGAGGAAGACTGCTCCCAGCAATAGAGGAACGCAAGCCCCCCTCAATCCATACCAATGTGACCGAGGGAGGTGGGGGGACACCCCTCCTGACCCCAGATCTGGAGATCAGTTTGACCTTGAACAAGATTCTCCAGCCTGGTATAAGAGGTGTCTGAGCAGCCCACCCTAGCCAATCTCCCACCACGGCCGAGGTACACACGTACAGCAGCTCCCACAGAGCCCCCATGTGGTAACAGTTCAAGTCTACCTGACCAGGCTGGATTTGAATGAGAAACCTAGAAACCAGAGGCTTCAGGCCAGAGTAACAACTCCTGGGCTCTGATTCATTAATACATTTCCTCTGAGTGCCTTTTGGATCTGTCATGAGAGGATGCCAGGATCCAGGAGTCCCCAGGGAGATGATCACCTCTGTCTGCTCCCTCACACACCTTTTTCACCCTCAGACTCACCGATCCCCTTCCTTTCACCCTCCCACAAACCTAGAGCCTTAACCCACACATACATATCCTGCACCCCGTTCATCTCCACATAACTGCACTCCCTCACACCTTTACAGTGCTGTCCTGGACAACCATTCCTGCAGCCCAAACCTACACTCTTATCTTCCCAAATCTATACATCCCCCAACACTTCTTACAGCCCACAGCCCCCATGGCATAATCTGCCCAGCTACATACCCTTACAGACCCACACAACTGCAGTCCACACACATACACTCCTTGTGCCCGAGCAGCCTCACACACCCTATGCTCTGATATTCAGAACACCTAATCTGTCATGTCCCTGCTACACATCTGTCTGGTAACCCCACTCCCACCCTTCCTTGTGTATTCTATACTGTCCCTACACCCCTGGCTGGGGAAAGGCTGCAGCTCCAGGACACCCTGCTCATTGGGGTGCTATCAGCACATGCCTGTGGAGAAACAGCTGGAACATGCTGGGATGTGGGTCCAGAGCCTATAGGGACCCAGATCCCCAACCCCAGCCTGGCCACTACCCCTACACTGCCTCACCCAGGCCCTGTGACTCATGGGGAACCCTTGGGGTTGCTGTGCCCAGCTCCAGACAAGAAGGAGCAATGTGAGGCTGGAAGTGTCCAGTGACACATCATTTTATTGCAGGAACATCAGGCAATTACTATGTGGGCAGGGAAAGGGAGAGAGTGAGGGAGATGGAGGTGTTGTCCTTACCCAGGAGATGGGGCAGGGCCAGGACCTACTGCCGGGGGTGGGGGGAGGCACTAGGAGCAGGGACATCTGGCAGAGCTTGGGAGGGTGGAGGCAGTGGAGTGGATGTGGGCCCCGTGGCTGGAAGTAGCCACCTCAGTACTTGCAGATGAAGGGCTGAAGGTGGTAGCAGGTGAGACCAGTCCATCGACCATCTGGCAGAAACAGGGAGAGGGATCAGTATCCGCCTGGCCAGTGCCTGGCACCCCAGACCCCTGTAGCCCTGAAGCCCCTGCCCCAGACCCCACAGAGCCCAAATGCCCCTGCCTTAGACCCCACTGCTCCTACCATGTCCTCCAGGCCCCACTGCTGTGTGTGCTCCATTCTATCCCACGGCACGATGGGAGGGTTTTGGTGTGGGGCTCACCAAGTACCTGCCCCCTCTCCTTGGGGACCAGTGGGGTTCCAATGCATTTTACCTGTCACCAAACCAGACACAACCAGCATGTCTCCCGCTATGCCCTCACAAGCACGGGGTGCAGGACAGGGAGTAGCAAATGTCTCCACCCTAGGCGTGCCTGGGGGCACTGATACAACTGTGGGGTTGCCAAGGGGCTGTGGGTCTCACATTTCTACAAGCCCACTGCCTCCCACACTCCCACAGACTCCCAGCCTCTTAGGGGCTCCTCACCTATGGGGCTCAAGGCGGAACATGTTTTCCAAAGCTTAGTGGGGCTTCCAAAGTCCCAGTTGGAGAAATTCCAGGTGGTGCCATCTACCCAGCAGGAGGTCATTTTCCCGCCCTGTGGAGCAAGGGGGTGGGGGTAGGATCAGTGATGCTTGGTCTGCAAGGGGCTGCTGGGAATATGGAGAAAGGGGGGTGCAGGGGGAAGGCTCTAAATGCACCTAGCATCTGCTGGGACCAGTGCCCTGCTGTGGTACTGGAGTAGGCACCATCCTGGCAGGCTTCCTGAGTTAGGGCACACAAGAAGATGCTCAGTTTCTGGCCATGGAGGGTCCAAAGGACCAAGGGGATGGGGGTAGGGGCTGAGTCACCACCCACCCCACCCTTCCCCTTATTTCTCAGCCTTACTCTGCCCTGGGGAGGATGCCTAGTCCTGGAGCTGGCAGAGCTCTGGCAGGAGGTCTGGGCTGAGTGATGGGGACAGGGTCTGCCTTACCGAGGAAGAAGTGATGCCACCAATCCACACCTTCCTCAAGGTATGGGTTCTGCTGAGGTTGTGCAGCTGTTTATTGAGGGCAGCGCTGTGGATGGAGGCCAGCTGGCCATTGTACAAGCTCTTGCACTCTGTGGGGAGAGAACAGTGTCAAAAATTGCCAGCAGGTGGGAGAGGGCCTGGGGTGAATAGGCACATAGCTGAGATGGGGAAGGGGCCCGGATCCCCAGCTAGCATGGAGCTAGGTCTCTAACCAGGAGTCAGTAAAGGAGGGGCAGACGGGTTGGGGGAATGTAATGCCCTCCTGTAAGGAAACAACCTCCTAGCTGCCACATGGGATGGCAGCACCTACTACACCCTGACCTGTGCCTATACCCACTATCAAGGAGTGGTCACATCAAACTCAAGAGCCACTGCCACAGCAGCCTACCATGAAATGCCCTGTCAGGCACTGCCACATTATATCCCCCAACCACCGGTCCCACTACATACACCAGCTAGTGCCACAGGGTCTGGCCACATTACCTCCATGGGTCACCACCACAGCCCTCTGTCACGGTACATCCACCAGGCACTGTCACAAATACAAGTCACATTGTACCCAACAGCCCTCTGCCTAACTGCATCTACAGGCTGCAGCCACTAGCCAGGCAATGGCCATCAGTGCTAGCCACTGCCATAAGAACCATCCACACAGCATCCTGCATCCCTCTCCAAGTCCATCAGCCACAATATACTTTCTATCCACTGCCATAGGGTCTAACTACTTATGGTTGTACCCACTGACTCCTGCCATGTGTATCATCCAAGCCACACCACACCATGCCTGCCATTCACCACAATGGGTACCAGCCATGGTCCCGACACCTGCCCAGGACATCACACTTACCAGCCATGTCAAGGCCATGCTGTTGGCTACAAATGTCCAACTCAGGATCCTTAAAATTCTAGTTTATTAGGCGGATTGAAACACTGTAATCATAAACCTTGGGGCTGGTCCCCACACACACACACATGCACACACACAGTAGCAAGCTACAGAGTCAGGTATACCTATCCTACAAGCGCTGGAGTCTGCCGTCGATGGCCAGTTGAGGCTTCTTTCAGCGTGGTATTATCCTCCAGAAGGGGGTCGCTGGCTGGTCCTTCTGGCTGGACAGGTCTGGTCGAGTTGGAGATCGAGATCAAGAAGGCGCCACTGAGGGTCACTTTTCACTGCCTTTTATCTGTCCCTGGCAGACTTTGGTGACTCCCCAGTTTTCAGGTTTGCCCAATCCAGGGGTCATTGACCCTCGTGGGACTTCCCCCCCCCTCGGTGGCTACTGGACAGCATCTGTCAGCCCCAGGGGTCGTCCGCATGTACGTGCAGGTTTGGGAGTCCGTTGATGAATTTAGAATAGGGCTCTGGGAGTGGTCGATCTGGAGATATTCAGCCCAAAAGTTGGTCTCTGGCGTTGATTAACTCAGGCCAGGGCTTCTAGCCCTTGATCAGTGACAGAGATTTCTGGGTTGTTACATTGTCTTCTATTGAGTTCTTCCCTTGGTTGATCTGCAGCTTCCAGGTGATAATTGCTGTCTGCTGCTACTGTGTTATACATTCAATCACTGATTCATTCGCTCTTTCAGGGGCCACCCTGATACAGAGAAGGACAGTTTGATTCCTACCCTTGTTAACATTGTTACAATGTATAACTTACTAAAACACATTTAGTTGAAAGTTGAAAGGTGAGGAGTATAAAATATAAGCTACAAATGCCATGGCACACAAATAGATAAAAATACCAAACTACAAGGGGAGATACAAAATGCACACATACAAATTTTAAAACACAATTCCTTATCTTAAAGTGAAAGAGAGAAGAAGGAAGAAAAGGTAGAAAAAGATAAACATATCCAAAGAGGGGAGAGCAAATGCAGGCAAGAGGAAAAGGGGGCTTTCTGCTACAATGCTTGCTGGCCACTGCCACAAGCATGTGCCCCATGCTCCTTCCCACCTCCATGCATATCACCTAGCTCTGGGTAGGGCACCAAACAGCCAGAGGTCAGGGGAGGCTCCTCTGAAGGCCTAGCATCATGTACCAGCAAGCAGGCCTCGTGTATGCCCCACCTGGGAATATGTGTGTTGGAGGATGGGGGTGGAGCATCAGCCCCCCCACTCTCCTGCCAATGCTTACCTGGGCCCTTTCAAAGGTCTGAGGCTTGGGCACTATTTTATAGTAAAACTTCTTGCCAGACTCATCTGTCACCGTCATCATGTTCTTCTGCTCCAAGGGGCACTGTAGCTCTGGGTCCCCAAGCTCCAGCTCTGTTTCCTCCTCCAGAGCAAAGCCTTCCAGCACCATTGGCTCTAGGGTTTTTACTGGTTAGGGAGAAACAATGATGGGCCATTTCAGCACCAGGAGACAGCCCAGGCCCAAGGGAGGAAAAACTGCTCTGACAGGGGTGGAGGCACAGCAGCAGTGGGCAGGAGACAGTCACCTTCCCTCCATGTCTGCGTGCCTGTCCTTCTGCTCCTCAATGGCCCCTTACCCTATCCAGCTGGAGATGCTGCACCTTCTACAGGGTTCACAGCGCCTCAGCTGGGGATTCAGGACATGGTCTAAACTCCTCCATCTTTTACTGCCCATGGGGATTTGTGGGGAGAAGGTTTCCCATTGCTGAGATTGTCACCAATCCCAGAACTCCAGGAGCTGGGGCTTTGCACTGAGACTCAAAGCAAGCAGTTCTAGGTCCTTCCCAGTAGAACCATATACCTCTGTGCAGCAAGGGGACAGCCCTAGTTCCTGGAGCTGCTTGAGGTATCAGACTGAGGCAGTGTCTGGGGTCCAGTGCAGGCCAGGGGCCACTGGGAGCTGGATGGGATGCTGGTCCTGTACTGGCTGTTCCCCTGGGCAAACTGGAGACTGCTGGCTATGTGGGTTATCCCCACTCCCCAGGACAGAGCTGGACTGAGATCAGAGGGGAGCACTGGCTTGAGGGAGTGGAGCCCAATGATCCCCATTCTGGCATGGCACCTGTTTCCATGTCCACCGGGTCCAACAAGCTGAACTGGTGCCCAAGACAAACCCAGTGGGAGAGTGCAGGAGGAGGCACATGCTTCTGAGAGCTGGGGCGGGAGGTGCATCTGCCTTACTCAGCTGGGAGCTTTAAACAGTCCAGGCTGAGCTGCTGCTGCCGTGCATGCTCTGCGTACCCCAGCTCTGTTGCCCTTAAAGCATCAGCAGCTGGACACTGTTTTGGGGATCCCAACAGGGCAATGCTGCTGAGGTGCAGACTCTGCAGGGGGAGAGGAGGGTTCAATTCTGCCACCCCTCCTAATTTGGTGCCTAGGGCAGATGCCCCTTTTGCCCACTCCCAGTTATGCTACTGAGATCCATGGAGTGGCTGCATATGGGCTCCCTACTGGGGTTGGTATGTTTTGGACACAGCCAAGGAAAGTGTGGGGAGATTCTTTCTCTGGAGGGGGGGCCTGGGGTGAGGCCTGGGGAGGGACAGACTTACAGAGCCTATGGGCTGAGGCAGTGCCCAGCAAGGGAAGCACCAGGACCACGGGCAGCTTCATCTCAGTCAGACCTAGGGGAGAAAATTCTTGGGAGCATAGCCCTGGCACCCCCATAGCCCGGAGACCCCTCCCGCAGCCCAAACCAGCTCCTTATCTGCAGACCCCAAAATTCCCACACAGCCAAGACCAGAGCTCCCCCAGCAAACCCTGACTCTCCCCTCAGCTCCTCTAGCCTGAGTTTCCCAACCATCCTATCAAGGCAGACCTTCCTTTCTTTGCTATTATTAGGCACAGAGATCCCTGCAAGAATTAGAGCCCATAATTGCTCTGCTTGCCAGTTCCTGACCCTCCAAATCACACCCTCAGCTGGGGGCCTTTCCCAGGGGCTCCTTGCTCAGAGGGGACAAGGGAGAGGTGGTTAGAAACCCAGGGCTATAGCTGGGCTGGGGGCACCAGGGCCACTACGCACTCACACAGGGACAAGGTGGCCCAGGGCACCCACTGCATGGGTACAGAGTGGGGTGGGACAGCCCGGCACATAGCTTTGGCCTGTGCAATTCCCTCCCACAGGGTGTTTGGGGGTGGGGGGAAGGTTCGAAACAGTCTCTGCAGCCCTATGGCCTGGCCTAGGATCTGCAGGTGCCAGGGTAGGAGCTGAGTGGTCTCTGGGGCCAGGCAGGAGTCTCTCCCTGAGCCAGAGAGCTGCATTAGGGGTGTTCCCCTCAACAGTGCACCCACCACTTGCTGTTCTGATAGCCAAGGCTCCAGCACTGCTCTGGGGCAAGTCTTCCCTCTCATCCCCCATTTTTAGTGACCCTGAAGTGTCCCCAGCTCTCACCTCTCTTCCAAATGCGGGGAGCCAGGATCCTCTGACAGACCTTTCCAGACTGCGCAGCATCTTGCGCTGACCTGGAGTAAGAAGTCAGCAGTGGAGAAAGAGCTATTACCAGTCCCCGGCACTCATATGCTACCCCAGGGCTTTCAACATCTATCCCCAGCTTGTGCTGCAATCAACTGTCTTCCTGCCCTTGCATGTGGAGAGTCCCTGAACCTGATGTCCGTAAAGCAGAACTTGACAGCATCTTGTCAAAGCTCCCATCCATTTGGTGCCTCCTTTTAAGGCAGGGCCAGGCTTTTAGTTTGGAAGACAGTAGCAAGAGGAGGCTATGAGCTGGAATTGAGGGGCACTGGCAGAGCACAGAGCTGGGGTAGCAGGGACTGTAGGTTGGGATTAAGGAGCATTAACGGGGGTGCTTGCAGGGAAATAAGCCTGAGGAGCAGGGGACTACAAGTCAGGCCTGAGGGGCATTAGTAGAGCTGTCTCAGGATGCTAGCACTACAGTGCATGGGGTGGGAAGAAGGAGGGGAAGAGAGCAGAACCAGGAAGCATCAGCAGAGCTGTCAGTGGTGTACTTCAGGAAGAGGAGTTGTGTCTGCTTTCAAAGGAACCAAGTGAGCCAGCTCCTAGGGGCTGTGCTGATGGGGATAATACTGCAGGCCTGTCCCATCTCTGGTCTCTCACTTACCCCTTTGCTGTCAGGCCTCTTGTGCCCCTATCACAGGGCAGAAATTCATAACTCTCCTACTCTCAGACCGGACTGCAGACTAGGGTTCCCTGGGGGAGCAGTGTCTCCCCTAAGAGGTCTACAATGCTAACCCAGCAGGTCTGAGTGCAGCACCTGTCTGTTGTTCTTCCTTTTAGGAGCCTGTGACCAGTGCTGTGCACAGTGACCAGACAGACTCCTGAAGTCAGTAGCCTGGTTTCCCAGCATGCCCAAGGCATATCAGAGAGAAAGGAGTGTAAACCCAGCAGTTTACACAGCCAGATAAAGCTTGAAGCCTTAGAAAGCAGGTCACTGCTGATGCCTCTTGCTGAGCAGGGAGAAGTCCAGCCCAGAGCCATGGAAGAGTCCAAGACCTCTTAGGGGAGAGGATGCTCCCCCAGATGTTGACAAGCAAGAGAAACTGATAGAGGGGACTGGGCCTCATTTGTATTTCTGTTATGTAACTGCTTAGGGAAAGGGTTGGCAAGCTTTAAGGAACAGCAAGTTGAAATAAGGCAGCTGGGTCTGAAGCGATGCTGCTGCTTGTGACCTGGTCACTGCTGCTCTCTCAGCAGTGAGAGGAGTGGCCGCTGCAGCCAGGTGATGCACAAGAGAGAGCAGGGAGTGCTGGGGCGGCAGTGAGGGACACTGTGGGGAACCTGTTTGAGGGCCAAGGGGTGAGCTACTGTGACACTTCCCCCTTCCGGCAGAATTGGTGCTGATGTTCCAGCTGGATTCAACCACTTGGTGGGCTGCATCTAGTTAGCGAGTCCCCTGGTTTAGGGCATTTTGGTTAAAACAGTTATGGTTTTGTGTTTGGTTGTAATGAAGTGCCGTGGTCCCTGTCAAGTAATGAGATGGCTTGAGTAACTACAGTTTGACAATGTCTGTTGAGGGAGCCTTGGCCAAGATGGAGAGTGAAGGGGAAACAAACAGCTGATGGCATCATCTTATTCCACCGAGGAGTGCCCTCTGCCTCCTCCTCACCCCTGGTGGTATAGACCAGTGGTTTTCAACCTTTTTTGTACCAGGACCCATTTGTAAACATTGATGGCCAGTCCTGACCAAGTGCCCCTCACTCCTGACCTGATGCCCCACACTGCCAGGCCCCAACCCCGCCAGTGTGTGGGGCAGGAGATGGGTGCGTGTGAGGCAGGGGGGCCCCATGCAGCCCCTTGCAGGCTGGAACTGTGCTAGCCTGCAAGGGAAAAGCCATGCTTTCCCATGTTTTTCTCCTTTAAAGGAGAATCCATTTGAAAAGTTTGTTGATCCATTTTTAAAGTTTGTCCACAACCTTTTCTTAAATTCTTGTGACCCACTTTTGGGTCGTGACCCACGGGTTGAGAAACATTGGTATAGACAACAGCAAACTTTCTGAAT